CCTGGGATCGAGCCCCGCATCGGGCTCCCTGCTTGGCGGGAAGCCTGCTTCTCCCTCTCCCACTCCTCCTGCTTGTGTTCCTTCTCTTGCTGTGTGTCTCTCTGTCAAATAAATAAATAAAATCTTTAAAAAAAAAATTGAAAAAGTCTTTTGAAAAAAGAATATTTACACAAACTATAAGAGAAAAGAAAAGATAAAAGAACCTGAATGAAGGTAGGGATTGTGGCAGGAGCCACATCCCAAGACTAGGACTGAATTGGAAACCTAACTGCCAAAGAAATAGGAAACATCTTCTATTCAGTAAATTACATTCTCTCAAACCCAGGTTTCAAGTAGATACGTTGAGGATAATCCGAGTAAACGATATATCAATTATAATATGCAAAAGTGGGAAAATCAGCTTCTAGGCAGGGACCTGGTAATTTTGGATTTAGAACAAAAATGAAGGGAATGTAAGAATAGTTGCAGGACAAGGCCATTTTATTTTGAAAGATTCATGTGTTTCAATGTCTGCCTGTTACAGGTGATGCTGAACAGGAACTTGGTCCCCCTCCATCTGTAGATGAAGCAGCAAACACACTCATGACTCGTCTGGGTTTCCTCCTTGGAGAGAAAGTGACGGAAGTTCAGCCAGGTGACCAATACAACATGGAAGTACAGGATGAAAATCAGGTAAACTGCTTGCTGTCACCTGCGAAACGTGGAATAAATCAGCCTATATTATACCAGGAAAAATGTTGCAGGGTGTGTGTATGTGCGTATCCCAATTGTTGAATAACTTTTGAGGCCTGAAGATATAGCTTAATTTTCCATCATTACTGTATTTCTTTAGTTTATGAAACACCTTTTAGTTTCATTCTTAGGTTTAAAGTTTTGATTCATTTACGGAATGAATGAGGCAGTAAGTAAGTGCATAAGCCAAGAAACAGAATTGACATTTTTATGGGCACTGCACCCAGAAATTATAGAATATACATCGTTCTCAGGTACATGTGGATTATTTACCAAATTGACAATATGCTGACCAGGTCTCAGTAAATTTCGGATTACAATTACTGTGATCGTAGTAGAATTAATCAGTTACAAAATGAGAACCTTGAAAATGTTAGCTACAAGATAATTTAGAAAATCCCTCAAATGTTTGGCTATTAATATACTTCTAAATAGCCTTTCAGTCAAAAAAGAAATCACAAGAAATTAGATAATATTTTAAACTGAAATAAGAACGAAATATAACAGAATTTATAGTATGTATTTGTAGTATATAAAACTTAAAGAGGTGCTCAAAAATTTTTAGTTTTTGGTTTTTTTTTAAAGATTTTATTTATTTGACAGAGACACAGTGGGAGAGGGAACACAAGCAGGGAGAATGGGAAGCAGGCTTCCTGCGGAGCAGGGAGCCCGATGCGGGGCTCGATCCCAGGACCCCAGGATCATGACCTGAGCCGAAGGCAGACGCTAAACCAACTGAGCCACCCAGGCACCCCCAAAATTTTTAGTTTTGAATATATATATTAGAAAAGTGAAAATCTGAAAAATTAATTATCTAAATATTCATGTCAGAAACTTAAAAATAATCAGCAATTTGAAAAAATTTTCTTTCATAGATTTTTTTTTTCTTTTAGCTATTTTTTAGTTTAAATGTAGCAAAGGAAGTAGACTCAAATTCATTTGTGTGGTCTTCATCTTTAAAATGTATGTCCTGTAGTGAATCCTTTTATTCTAGAAGATGACAATTTGAATTCGTCTTGTCTATTCTTAACAAATATTTGTGAAGATTTTATATCCTATGTTAGTTTTGTCATAAAATAATAGAGTCTTCAAGGATTATTTGGATATATTTATAGATCATGTGGATAATGTTCAGGTGTTCTAGAGCTCTCTCCTGAGACTTCTCTACGTCCTCATTCCCTCAGTCATTGGTTTTGCTGGCTGCACATTATAATCACTTGGGCAGTTTTTATAAAATTCAGATGCCTGGAGATTCTAATCATATTGAAACTCCTCCATTCTTTTTTTTTTTTTAATACTCTTATCTCCTGAATTGCCTCTGGCCCTGACTTTCCCCTGAACTCTCCAGTATATTTCCAGCTACTCCCTTTTCTACCTGTGTGTCCAAGATGCAGCTCAAACCTAACATGTCGAAAACTGAAGCCTTACATTTTTTTCCCAGAACCTGTTCCTTCTGCAGTATTTTCTCTCAGAGTAGTTTGTGTCACCTTCATGCTTCGGACAAAAGCGTTGGAGCCATTCTTGAGTTTTCTCTGTCAGATTACACATTCACTCTTTCAGCAAATCGTATAGGCTTTGTCTGCAAAGTATATTCTGAATCTGCTCCCTTCTCCTTACTTCCACTGCTACACCTGAGTCCATGTCACTGTCCTCTCTTGCCCGGGCTACTGCAATGGTTACTGGACTGTAAGGCCTGGAACTTTTGCCTGTTCTCGTTACTGCTGTATCCTCTGCATCTAGAATAGGATCTAGCATTGGTAGGTGCTCAGTAGATATTTACTGAATGAATAAATAGCCTCCTAATAGATCTCTCCTTCCACTCTTGCTCCTCTGTAGTCTGTTCACACAGTAACCAGAGTGATCCTTGTAAAATGGGGATCCGATCTTTTTGCTTCTGTGCTCTCGATCTTCCACTGTTTTCCCATCACATTTAGAATTAAATCTAAAATCTTCAGCATGGTCAGAAAGGCATTGCCTGGTCTGACCCCTTGCTGCTACCTCTCCTACACTGCCTACCCCCCTCCCTTTCACCTGCGGCTCTGCAGCGACACTGGCCTTCCTGACATTCCTCTGACACAGAACATTCCTTTAGTACTGGAAAGCGCTTCCCGCATAACACTTGCTCGCTTTATTCAGTGCTCTGCTCAGATGTTACCTCTTCCGGGAAGCCTTCCTTAACTGCTGTTTCTAATAGCACCTGCCCGCCTCTATACCCCCTTACCCTGCTGCTTTATTTCCTTTATAGCTCTTAACCATTAATTTATTACACTCCAGATTTAGTTGTGGGTTTTTGTTTTTGTTTTCTTGTCTGTATCTCATACAAGAGTGTAAGTTTCATGATGGCAGGGATTGATGGGTTTTTTTTTTTTAATCAGTAACTGTGTTGGTATGCTATGCCCTGTGAATAAAAAATGGGAATGATATATGCTGAGGGCCTTTTTGATATTGGTATAAGTAAAACATCCATTTTTATTTTTTACTTTTTATTTCTTGATATTCATGTAAAGTTAAAATGTGACTATTCTAGTGATGACCAAGGAACATAATGAGTATTTGCCAAGGATCCTGTTGTTTCTATTAATAGAAAAGTCACTTACATTTGTGGTGAGCAGAGTATCACTTAAACTACTTCAATTAAAAAAAAGAAAGAAAGAAAAAAGAAAAGTCCCTGAACCAGGAAGTAGAAAATCTGTGCCCTCCTTCCAACTCTACCACCTATGACTTTGTAAATTCGGACATTCACTTAACCTCTCTGAGCTTTAGGTTTTTCATAGGTAATAACATCTGACATTTATGAAATGCTTCCTACATGCTAATCATTGTACTAATTGTTTTATCTGTACTATTTTGCTTAAGCTTCCTTATACCCCAGTGTGGTAGGGCCCATTGATACTTCAGATTTCAGATAAAAAAGTGGAAACACAGTGCCACAAAGTGATGGAATAGTATTCAAATCCAGACAGTCTGCTTTTACAACCTCTGTTCTTAACAGCTGCACCATAGTGTTTCAGTGTAATATGAAATAATAACACCTGACAGGATTGTTGTGAGGATCAAGGTAAATCACGAATACGAAATTACTTTGTAAGCTGTAAAATGCCATATAAATAAAAGGTGTAAAATACTATGCAGTATAATTAGTGTATAAATATATTGCAAGAACTATGATTTGGGGCAATTATTTGATAGCTTTCATTCTTTAGGGCAGTTTCTTATTCACATCTCTGTGGGGGAAATAATATTCATTTTGCCTTATACTTGGTTGAAAAGGAGTAAATGAAATAATATTAAATTTTTTTAAACTGTAAAGCATTGAACAAATGTAAAATATTATTAATGATTGCCTTCTGGGAATGTAATATATCATGAAACTATCTTGGAACCACAGAAGGAAGTGACTAAATTGATCATTGGAATTCCTAGTCTTAGGAAGGTTATTAAGAATTAGGAGGTCATGTTCATTTGGTGACTTTCTTCCGAGCTAAACAGCATGCTAACAAAGATAGATTGCTTTGTTTAGGAAGGCCTGAGGGTAATAGCATCCTCAGAATTATACTAGAAAGGACAGAATCCAGCACAGGCAAGTCAGCATGTATCTTTTTTCTACAAAAGACGAAGTACTGAAAGTGATATTCAACCAACCACTATATTTTCTTCACTCAGTAATTTCTGGAGTGGTAGGATATACTTTAGGAATTCCATCATCAGGTTCTTACCTTGTATAATTGTAGAACCTTTAAGAGACCTTTAAGAAGGATCCTTTGGGATCCTTCCAGAGAACACAATGGAAAAACCACCGAAAGATTTTATAAGCGGAGTGGTTTAATTAGAGGTCCATTTTAGCTTAAAGCATGGAGAATGGTTAATGTTGTCTTTTGGTGCCTAGAAGAGATTTCTGTATCTCATTAACTAGCTTCCTTAAATAAAGAGGAGGCCTGCTTTTTAATTCATAAGCCATGAGCAAATTTCTACTTTCTAAACGGCTTGATCTTTAAGCTTTGCTTTTACAGTTAAAGCTTTTAAAGCATACATTCTGTGATATAAGCTTTATTTTGTAGAAGACAACTTGTAGTAAGAATAGTGTCTTTTGGGCTTAACCTCCACATTGGCTGTATTATGTATATAATACAGTTTCCTTTCTCAAAGAACAGACTGAGAATCTTGTCTAAAAATGGAAATGAGTTGCTATGGAAGTAATAGATTCAGATGCATACTAAAATGGAACTTTTTCAATATGGAATGACTATAGATATATTTAATGTAAAAAAAAAAACAAACCCTAGTATAGTTCATTTAATCTACCCACATATTTTTTTAAACTGAGAGTGAGGAGGTTAAAAATTGCTATGTTAGAGTCTAACTAGGGAGGATTCTGATTTAGTAAGTCTGGGGTGTGGGGCTCTGTATCTGTCAATTTCATTGGGGAGCTTGGTTTTTTACATTCCATAGGTGATTCTACTACATGCCCAGTTAAAACTCATTGCTTTGGTAGGCCAGCATCATTTTATAAAAATAGAGGAGATTACAAAGAAATTGGAACTCCCCCCTCCTCTGGAGAAAAAATATAGGTAGAAGAGAAATGGCATAGATCAGAGGGCTTATGGTATGACTAACAAAAATCAGTTCCTAATATTATTAATACAGTTGAAACGATTTGCTTCATTGCAAGGTTCTGAGAGTGTCACTTGTGCTTTAAGTTGAATATAGCCTTTATGACCTAGTTATAGCATTTAAATTAAAATCAAAACCTGGATTCAACACATGTGATTAAATACAAGGGAGTGTATCTGAAACTTATTTTAGGGTGAGTAAAAGAGCCTTAATTTTCTCATATTTAGTGATTAACACATTTTCCAGTCAAGTTGTTAAATGTAAATCTTCAATTTTAGTGGAGAGAATGTGAATAGTGATCTATAGGTAAAGAAGTTGAAAGGTTTTTCTTTCTTTCTTTTTCTTTCTTTCTTTCTTTCTTTCTTTCTTTCTTTCTTTCTTTCTTTCTTTCTTCATTCATTCATTCATTCGCTATGTTAATCACCATACAATATTCATCATTAGTTTTTGATGTAGTGTTCCATGATTCATTGTTTGTGCATAACACCCAGTGCTCCATGCAGAACGTGCCCTCTTTAATAGCCATTATATCATTAGTTTCCTTCAAGTGATTTTGTCACTGATCACTTACTATTTTTTTAAAAGGATAAATTTTTTTTAGTGTTTGAAAAAATATATACTTTTATTCATTATTTTCGCAATTTATTTGGGTAGAAAGAGCTAAAGAAAAGTGGATTTTCATTAAACTAGGTAAGCCAGGATATATTGCCACCAATCTTTTTGGTGATTATTCATTCCTTCCCGTCAAAAACTTTAAACTGAGGTGACCTCAGATATAAGAATCATTCAAGATACAAAGCAATCTCAGCCTATAATCAGTTTCTACAGAGAAATTATTAAGTTTTGCTTTAAATGAACATTGTTTTTGATCTATTTTTTAGGTAGACTTTTAGGATAAGGCATTTTCTCTGCATTCATTTACTGTCTCAGGGCAGCCACCTATGTATCAAAAAAAATGCTGATTTGCATTAAGAGCCTTATTTTTATTTCTCCTTGGCTGCAGATTTTTTTTTTTCCCCAATCCGAAGAAAAGTATTAACAAGACTTAAGTTCTAAGCCTTCAGAATAGCTTTATTGATAGGAAAAAGCAAGGACAACTTGTAGTTAATTAAAAATCCTTCTATGAATTCATGGCAGTGATAAAGAATATTTGTCACTAGAAATTTCTTAGGTGGAAAAACTGGCCACAGTCTCTGCTTATGTTAAACTTATCAGGTTGCACCTTAATTGTATGATGCAGAATCTCTTATCCTAGAAGGCAAAAAACAACTAGTACCTAGTCGATGTAAAAGCTGTGTATGTAGATTTTGTCCTTTTTCTCATCAGAGCATATGTTTTGCCATAAGATGCATTTTACTTTAACAGCAATCAGTCTATCTTGTTTTTCATTCCAATTTTTCAGACCTCAGCAGTCACGCAGCGGATAAGTCCCTGTTCCACCTTGACTAGCAGTACCGCCTCCCCACCAGCCAGCAGCCCCTGCTCCACCCTCCCGCCAGTCAGTTCAAGTGCAACTGCCAAGGATTGCAGCTATGGGGCTGTTACTAGCCCAACCTCTACCCTTGAAAGCAGAGATAGCGGCATTATTGGTGAGTTGATTTTTACATTAATCATTTTGCAGGGTTTTTTTTCTTTTTAAAATAGTTACATATTTTCCAAAATTCTGTGTTTGAATTGTTGAGAGAGATATGTATAGAATGTGTCCTTTTCTTTTTAATGATGCTGGAGAGAGAAATAAAGGTAAACAAAATGAAAGCTATCCCTCCCTGCTTAACCACTCCTTTAAAGATATTACCTGACAAAAGAAGGGGTGGATAGAAAAAGTTTTGTCTACTTCTCCCTGTAAATTCATCTATCTGCCAACAGAAGTGGTTCAGAAAATGTTCATTCCTCACTGAACTAGTAGAGTTTGATGGAGGTTCTTAGTTCTTCATATATGTATTGCTTCTTGTATACTTATTAAGGGGAGTCAGTCAAATGGAAATGAGTGAAGTTTTGGGAAATGAGGAATCTGAAGAAAGGGAGTGCACAGAGAAGAAAACAGGAATGAGCACAGAATCTTAGGGCATGTTCAAATTGAGCAGGAAATTAGAGGTGGGAGAATGAGCCAGTGGACAGGAGTAGTCAGACAAATAGAAGAATTGGAGCAAGGCCAAAGAAGATAAAAGGTTCAGCAAAGGGATGAGGAGAGGTTGGTCAACAAATGACAAAAGCTGAAAAGGCCAGGCGTAAAGAAAATATTTCTTCCTCGTTTGGCTTCCTTCTAAAAGTTATCAAATAAAAATACTTATTTATTTAGATGGTATAGCAGAGATTAATGCCATGGCAACTAAATATATCTCTACTACTTAAGTGCGTATATATCAACATGTGAATGTATTCATTTAAAATAAGTAGTAAATAAATGAAAAGAATAGTTTTTAAAGATTTTATTTATCTGAGAGAGAGAGAAAGAACGCACAGGTGAGCACAAGTGGGGAGGAGGGGTGGGGGGAGAGGGGTAAGCAGACTCCCCGCTGAGCAGGGAGCCTGCTGTGGGACTTAATCCCAAGACCCTGAGATCATGACCTGAACCAGAGGCAGATGCCCAACCCACTGAGCCACCCAGGTGCCCTGATGAAAAGAATATTTTTACAGCAAAGTTGCAGGATACAAAATGAACACACAAAAACCAGTTGCATTTCTGCGTGCTAACCATGAACAATTCAAAAAGAAAATTAAGAAAATAATTCCATTATACTAACATCAAAAAGAATAAAATACTTAGGAATAAATTTAACCAAGGTAAGAAACTTGTACACTAAACAGTACACTAAGACAAGTACACTAGACACAAAATATTGCTTAAGAAATTTTAAAAGATTTAAATAAATGAAGATATATTCTGTGTTCATGGATTGGAAGACTTAATATTGTTAAAGTGATAATATTTCTCAAAGCAGTCTACAGATTCAGTGAAATTACTATCATAATCCCAACAAAGTTCTTTGCAGACATAGAAAAACCCATCCTAAAATTCATGTGGAATCTCAGAGGACCCTGAGTAGCTAAAACAATCTTGAAAAAGGAGAACAAAGTTCTCCTTTAGTAGGACTTGTGATTAAAATAATCTGGACCTGATAGTCATGAAGATTTTTTTAACTACTATTTTTTTTTTTTTTTAAGATTTATTTATTTTATTTTTGAGAGAGAGAAGGAATGAGTGTGTAAGGGGCAGAAGGAGAGAGAGAGAGAGAGAGAGAGAACCCCAGGCAGACTCCCCACTGAGCACGGAGCCTGGCTCAGGGCTTGATCCCACGACCCTGAGATCATGACCTGAGTTGAAACCAAGACTTGGACACTCAACTGACTGAGCCACCCAGGCGCCCCTAACTACTGCTTCATTGTATTTAATACTATAGGACTTTCTGTGTTTCTCTTTCTTTTTGAATCTGTTTTCCTTCATTATGGTTTTTATCTTTTTCAAATTTACTGGTATAAAGTTGTCCAAAATATTCACTACCTACACAGGAACCTGAGCTAGAGAGCTGAGAGGAGTCCTTCCTTCCCCCTACCCAAATTTCTCATCCCTGGGTTTTATTTTCGTCTTTCTTAGTATTGCCTTGGCAGTCCTCATTATCTTAGACTTAGATTAATACAAATGTAACTGTTATTTCTGCTTTTCATCTTGTCCTTTCCAGGTCTGTTTTTCACACAACCACCAAAATGAATTAACTGAAAACCAATTACTCCTTGGATTCCGTTACCTAGAAGGTAGATAGTGAACTACCTGAAAATCGAATCTGATCACATCACTCCTTTGACTCCCATTTACCTGTAAAATAAGGCCCAGGCCCTCCTGATCTGACCATGGCCAATTTCTCCAGCCTTCTGTCCCACTATTTCTAGCCCTGTATGTATTGTTCTAGCCGCATTAGACTTTACTGTTACCCTGATGCATTCCAGTTTTTTCCTCTGCGTGCTTTTGCTCGTATTGAGCATTCTGCCCGTAATCTCTCTCTTACATATGAATGAGTCCTATGGATCTTTTAAGACTTTGTTAAGTATTCTGCCACTGCTGCTACCACCACCTCCCTTCAATTTTCCGCTCCCACTCCTATCCAATATGTATTCTTACTCCATGTTCCCAGTAACACCTGAGCATATAGATGTCATGGCATTTAATGTGTGGTGTAATAATTACTTTTTAAACCTGCTTTCCACCTTTCAACTGTTAATTTCTTATTAGCAGTTTATTAGTGCTCTGTATTTAAATCCTGCCCTATTATCAAAATGCACAAAAGTTATTAAATGTTTTAATTTATGCATTTTAAATTCCTTTATAGGTCAGTTCAGTGTGATCCCTTGTCATGCACTGCATTTTCCACTTACAACTATCAGAATTTTAGTCATTCATGTGTCTGACTGTATCACTTGTATAGTTTGCCAAAATGTGTAGAATCCTAGTTATAAGATTCGAAATACTAGAAATGCAGACTTTCTGAAAAAATTTTTAAGTATTCTGAATGTAAAAAGTTCCTCTCTAGGGTTCTAAAAGATTTTAAATAACTGTGACTTATTTGATTCTGTGTAGCCTGGGTTCACCCCTGATGTGAGTTAATTTCTACCACAGAAAGCATTCTCTGCTCCAGTCATAGCTTCCCTCCCCAAATTCATAACCCTTCTTAAACAGGTGGTGAAATGTCACCAACACCGTTGTCAGGTATTTGTATGGTAATTTTATATCTGTGACTCTCTTTTTAAATTTTATTGGTATAACTCTAGTAGTGTAACAGTCTTATGTATGTGCCTAATAGATAATACCACTAATGACATATAATCTCCTATCAGCTATATCTATATCTGTATCTATCTATCTATCTATCTATCTATCTATAGCTTCAAGCAAAAATCTTGATAGTTGTAACCTCCATGAGATAGATACCATTTTTCTATCCTATTCCTTTTTCATATTAAGTTTTTTGTTTTTTTTTTAAAGATTTTATTTATTTATTTGAGAGAGAGAGAATGAGAGACAGAGAGCATGA